GATAGATAGATAGATAGATAGATAGATAGATAGATAGATAGATAGATAGATAGATAGATAGATAGATAGATAGATAGATAGATAGATAGATAGATGGACGGATGAATAGATAGATGGATGGATGGATAAATAGATGAACTGATGAATGGATGGATGAATGTGTGAAATATTTTTTTTGTTAATAGATCCTACAAACTCGGCGCCTGCGATCCTCGATGGGTTCGAGAAGCGGGAGGTCATGGCATCCCACAGAGTGGAGCTCCCGTGCAAGGCCTCCGGACACCCCGCACCAAAATACCGCTGGCTGAAAAACAACAGACCGCTAGAATCAGACTCCCGTTTCCATCAGAGCGTAACGGGCCTGCTGATCGAGAGAGCCCAGCCCAGTGACACCGGCAGCTATGTGTGTGAAGTGTGGAACAGCTATGGAAACACAGAGGTCATAGGTCGTCTCACGGTAAAAGGTATATATCAGGTTTCTCCTGCCTTATTTTTTTTATTGAATTTTTAAATATCTTATTGATAAAGTTAACATAAATAATGTCACTGTGTTGTTCCAGAACCTCTTAAAGTGGTGGTCAGTCCTCGAAAGGTGAAGGGCAGTGTGGGAAGCCAAGTGTCGCTAACCTGCAGCATTACTGGCTCGGATGAGTACGAGCTCTCGTGGTACCGCAACGGCGACAAGATCAGCGCTGGCGCCAACGTGCGGATGAATGGGATCAATAAGGAGAACCTTGTGATGGACGGGATGGCGAAGAGCGATGGAGGAGTGTACCAGTGCTTCGCCAGGAAGGCCAAAATGTCAGCTCAGGATTTTGTGCAAGTCGTTTTAGAAGGTCAGCACCATCCCGGCCTTTTAATTTTGGTACCTTTTTGTTTCTTAAACTTAACAAAAGCATCTCTGTCCACAGATGGAACCCCTAAGATCTTGTCCGCCTTCAGCGAGAAAGTTGTCGGTCCGAATGAGTTTGTCTCTCTGACGTGTCACGTCAAGGGAACTCCACAGCCTGCCGTCACCTGGATGCTGGATGATGACGTTGTCATGAAGGACAGTCGGCGCCGCATCGGTCACAGCATAACAGCGGAGGGGAACGTGGTCAGTTACCTGAACATCTCCCACTCCCAGGTCCGGGACAGCGGGGTCTATCGCTGCACCTGCAACAACTCGGCGGGGACGGTCTCCTACCAGGCTCGAATAAACGTAAGAGGTGCTTGTCAGATCGGCTCCTCAAAATCACACACATATATTTCATTCTGCTCATCTCAAGTTCCATACGTGAGACGAGGGCCTGACTAACATCTTCTGTTATTTTTATTTCTGTTGAGCTTTCTGTTCTTTTCTTGCTTTTTTTGGTCACGTTCACTCTTTCATATGGCTCGGTGTGTATTTGTTTTCTTCTGTGGGTTTCCAACAACACTCTTAAAAATAAAGGTTGTTTATTAACATCAATGGTTCCATTAAAAAACTTTAACATCAGTGGAACTCTTTATAGAAGGTTCTTTATAGTGGAAAAAGGTTCTTTATTAAAATATTCTTCATTCCAAGGGGGTCGTTTACACCAGTGGTTCCCAACCCTGGTCCTGGAGGCACCCCAACACTGCACGTTTTGCATGTCTCCTTAATCAAACACACCTGATTCAGATCATCAGCTCATTAGTAGAGACTCCAAGACCTGAAACTGGTGCGTCAGAGAAAAGAGACATGCAAAATGTGCAGTGTTGGGGTGCCTCCAGGACCAGTGTTGGGAACCACTGGTTTACACAACACAGTTAAAAATTTAAAACTTTTATGTGCTTTGGCTGTTTATTTACACAACAGTTGCATTTTGGGGGCCTGAAAACACAAACCTTTGAAAACAGGTTTCAAAGGGCAAGCTATTGAAAATGATACCATTACCAGTCCCTGTTGTCAAAACAGTTCAATATTTCTACTAAATATTGTAGAAACTTAATTTTCTGTAAAGTTGCTTTGCAACGATTTGTATCATAAAAAGCACTATACAAATAAACTTGACTTGAATTGAATTGAACATTGATGTCTGTATGTAAAACTTTTCAAAAATGCAAAAGAAAAAGTTTTCAGTTTTTAGTGCATCGTTGTCATGTAAACGTACCCATAAGAACTTTTTTAAAGCACATTTGTTTAAAAGTTCTTTGAGGAACCCAAACATTTTTTTTCTATGGCATCGCTACAAAAACTCTCTTTTTGAACCTTTATTTTTAAGATTTCAGGGCTGTAGTTCTTAAAACTAATTTCATTGGCTTTTCATTTAACCCCAACTGTTTCTTGTGTGAAAGTGTATGTAGTGTGTGCTTGTGCTCGTTTTACTTTTTTGTGTGTCCTTCTTCATCATTAATCTATATTTTACACTCTTTTTCTTTATGTTTTTAGATCAAATAATGTTGTATTTATGATTTAGTTATTCTGCAACACCCTGTCAACCACCCACAGCACTCTAGCATCACAATGAGAACTTTTGCACAGACAAACACAACTCACATTTGACTTTTCTAGCTTTGCATTGTGATATTACATCACAGTTTGCAAACCACTTTCAGAATGTAGCATATTTTTAACAATATCCTCTGAAGAAGTAGACTTTAGCGTAAGAGTACTTATGGAAATATTATATTTTAAAAGAATATACTCTGAATATAATGTTTTTGGACACTTAATTGCATGATATTTACAATTAAATGAAAATTATAGTTTCAATTTATATTAGCTGAGCTTAACTTAAGTATATCTTTATATGTAATTTAGTGCATTTACATTATATTAACCTTAAATTTAATATCAAATATAATCAAGTAAGTTTACAATAATGTGGTTTTTATGTTAGTCAACACTTTAAAAATTAGTATACTTCTTTAAAACATGACAAAAGATTATTAAAATAATTGTTTAAAATGCACTTTAAAGTGAAATGTTTCATTTGACATTTTTACAAAGTGTAGTTTTTAATAATGTACTCATGTGTTTTAAGAAATTTAAGACACTTAAGTGGCCTTTTATTTCATTCATTTCATATTATCTGCAAGTACAATTTATTTCAAAAATATAAGATTTAAATTGCACATTCATTATGACACAAGGGTGCATAAAGAGATGAAATGTGTGAGAAACAAGTTATTAAGCAGTATCAAAATTACCATCCTAATCTTTTACTTTGTCTTGTCTGTTTCTTTGATCTTAGAAAGGCCCTCATCCATAAACCATAAATCCACATTTTCTTTATTAATTTTTTGCTACATTTACTGCAAATTGGACTTTCATCACAATGTAAAAGTCAATATTATTTTAAAGAGAAGTGTTTCTTTTTTTTGTACCCTAAAGGTCCTGCTGACATACGACCAATGAAAAACCTCACAGCTATAGCTGGGCGGGACATGTACATTCACTGTCATGTGATTGGCTACCCATATTACTCCATCAAATGGTACAAGAACTCCAACCTTCTCCCTTTTAATGATCGTCAACGGGCGTTTGAGAACAACGGGACGCTGAAGCTGCTGAACGTGCAGAAAGAACTGGACGAAGGAGAGTACAGCTGCCATGTGTTGGTTCAGCCCCAGCTCTTCAAGAACCAGAGCGTCCACGTCACTGTGAAAGGTAGCCATACTTGACATCTGAAGTAAAATGAGTTAAACGATGTCATTAGAATAGCCTGTTCATTTGGTATAGCAGTATTTAACAATGTTCTCTGGTTGTCGTCAGTGCCTCCCTTCATCCAACCATTCGAATTTCCACGTTATTCCATCGGCCATCGCGTCTTCGTGCCCTGTGTTGTGCGCTCAGGTGACCTTCCCATCTCTATCACCTGGGAGAAGGATGGAAAGCCCATTAACGACAGCCTGGGGGTGACCATCGATAACATCGACTTCACCAGCTCCTTGCGGATCTCCAACCTCCAGCGAATGCACAACGGCACCTACACCTGCATTGCCCAAAACGATGCTGCCGTCGTCAAATACCAGAGTCAGCTCATTGTTAGAGGTAAGACTACATGTTAAGCATCCTTTTTGGGAGTACAACGAAGAAACGTTCACAAAGACAGAACTTGAATGTGAACCTGTGGATTTTTTGTAGTTCCACCAAGGTTTAAAGTGCAGCCTCAAGACCAGGATGGAATCTACGGTAAATCTGTCATCTTGAACTGCTCTGCAGATGGAGAGCCGCGGCCAGCTATTGAGTGGAAGTACTCCAAAGGTACATGGCTTCACTGACAACTATTACGTTGCATGCAAAAGTCTTAAAGGGGTCATATGATGCGATTTCAAGTTTTCCCTTCTCTTTGGAGTGTTACAAGCTGATTGTGCATAGATAAGATCCCTGAAGTTGCAAAGACTAAAGTCTCAAAACCAAAGAGATATTCTTTATCAAAGTTAAGACTCTACCACACACCCCTAAAACGGCTTGTTCTAACACGCCCCCACATATCTACGTCACTATGTGGAAATATTTATATTGTCTTTTAAATAACATTCCTAAAACAAGATACATTTACTTTTACACAATTGTGTAAGATAACAATGCATAACTAAATAAATGTAATACACTTAGCTTTCAGATAATATACTTTGAATTAAGTTTAGTTTTCAAATATTTATTTTTTTATTTTTATTTTTATTTTTTACAATTTGCCAGTGGCGAAAAAATAAAATATTACTAATACTAGATCTACTACTAATAATAATAATATAGTGAAAATAATTCTAAATGTGTTCTCTGAAATTTAGTTTTTAATGAATATTTAGATATTTTTAGTAAGAATCAAGACAAAATGATAGCCTTATAATTTTTAAGAACAAACTTAAACATAACTTCACATTTTTAATTTTATTCTAAAATAATTTGCCAGTGGGGGAAAAAAATAAATTAATTTGTAATAGTAGTAATAATAATAATTCAAAATTTGTTCTCTGACATTAATTTTTTTCTTTTTTAATATTTTTACTAAATGATAGCTTTATCTTTTTTAATCATAAACTTCACCCATTTTTTTAAGCAATTTGCCAGTGAGGGAAAAAAAAAACTTCTATAGTAATAAAAATGTATAGAAAAAAATCATTCTAGATACATTCTCTGCCGTTTTGGTTTTCATGGATATTTAGGTATTTTCACTTGAAGTCTAATTATACTGTAGCTTTTTTTTTTGTAAGAACAAACTTAACATGTCTTTTATATTTTAAAACAATTTTCCAGTCTTGAAAAGAAACGAAAAGTATGATGTCACTGAAGTTTTTTAGCACTTTAACTAGAGGACGTCATCTTCTCTGTGCCAGGTGCTGGGGTGCCCCAGTTTCAACCCATCGCGCTAAACTCGGGCTTCAGGGTCCAGCTGCTCGGGAACGGCTCACTGCTGATTAAGCACGTTCTTGAGGAGGACGCAGGTTATTACCTGTGCAAGGTCAGCAATGACGTGGGAGCCGATGTCAGCAAGTCCATGTACCTCAACGTGAAAAGTAAGAAACACTATTTTACTGAGATGTTAAGTGATTGGTTTGACGGTTCACTTTGCAGTTCTACTAAAATTCTTACCCCTCAATCATACATGAATATTTAGGTGTTTGTTAAGAGGTTAGTGAAACACTTTTGTTTGGGTTTTTTGCGTTACTTAAGGACGCAGTTCACAGAGAATTCACAGAGCGTGCGGCCCGTGCGTTATGGATCGGGAACCAACAACCATCTGGTTACTGCCACTCTCGATCCACTGGACTACTCGCAAAACCAATCAAATGTGTGTTTAGGTGACAGCTTTTGTTTTGTCCAGGCTTGGAAATATTTTTTGCAACAATATTGTCAATAGTAAGACTAAACGAGAGTGCATTGTGTAAGGTGAGAGGGTTTCTGCAGTGAAGTCTCTTTGTCTGCCTCAGACACATGTGGGTGTTTATCCACGAGTAGCCAAAAACCTTTTTCCCCCTCATTACACTGTGAACTCCAGTAGGAGCTGACATGTGGAAAAGCATGTGCTTTCAGTGCTCGTGTGTGTGTGTGTGTGTGTGTGTGTGTGTGTGTGTGTGTGTGTGTGCATGTCTCACTTTTTCTGTTTCCACCCACTCTGTAACACTCTGTTACCACACACATACAGTAAACACATAGGAGAGAGAGAGTAATAGAGATTACCTCAGACTATAATTTCATGAAATTCTTCTTCATAGTGCTTGTGCAAGAGGTATTCAATTACAAGCGATCCAAAGTAGATGATAGAATGGGAACAGTACTGTTTATTTTAAAGTCAACATGAAACTTCTCCACAATCCAACTTCTCCACATCCATAATATGATGCATTCAGAGAATATTTTGTGGGGAGGGGGTGGAATAAATAAAAAAAAATAATTGTATATTTATAATTAGACTGTTGTCCAATAGTTTGAGGTTGGAAAGATTTTTCTGTTTTTGTTTTTTGAAAAGTCTCTTTTCAGTGCTGCATTTATAAAAACAAAAATATTATAAAATAGTGCAATTTAAAAATATTTTATAATTTTTTATCTACTACTTTATTTATTTTTTATTTTAAAATGTATTTTATTCCTGTGAGGGCAAAGCAGAAATTTATTTACTTCTGTATTATTATACAGTATTAATTTATAAAAAAAAATAATAATCTTATTGGTCCCAAACTTTTACACAGTAGTGTGTGTGTTTGTTTGTTTATAATATAAAACTAAAAACAAATTATATTTCTGAAATGTAAAACATATAAATATACATACATATAAATATTTATGAATAAGATTTCTATTATATTTAATAAAATTTATTATAATAAAACCTGGAACGTTCATTCCAGGTAAACTGGGTCACTTTTGATTTCCTGTTGACTTAATCAAGGATGTTTATTTAAAATGTAGTAAACTCTTTATACCTTATTGTGTGACTCAAATAAATGCTGAAATCCATTTGATTTAAAAGTGTTTTCTACAGCGTGCGACACAGCAGCTAAATGAACTGTTTTAATGTCGGGTTATCCGTCTATTCCCTGTCTGCCTATGCATGCGGTGGCGGCTGCGTTCTCATTTGATCAGAGTGTGATGTTAGAGAGGCTTATTTTCACACCCTGCTCTTATCAGCACGCAGCAGGAGCTTTCCTGCAGAGCCGCTCTCTCTGCCTAATACAACCTCTTCTTCATCCTCTTTCCCTCCCTCCCTCCCTCCCTCCCTCCCTCGCTCTGTCTCTATTCTCTCTGCCGCTCTCTTTCTCATGTCATGTAACAACACACACACAGAGCTCTGTTCTCCAAGAGATCGATCAGGCTGACAGGTGAAATACTGAGTCGTGTTTGTGCGGAGAGCTCTGCTCCCGGAGACATGGCTCTGTTGTTGTGGCTCGCTGTTGTAACTCGAGTCTCCCTGAGAGGTTTGTTTCAGAGTCCACTGTGATCTCTCCAGTTTACCGCAAACAAGCTCCTCATTAAGATCAGCCGTGATCAGCGCTGAGAGTTCAGGTTGTGTCCCCATGGCCACAAAACAGAAGGAGAGAATTCTACCCATCTGGAACAAAACAGAGAAAATCCTCAAATCCATTCCTCAGTACTCAAACCTAATTACTAGAAGAAGAAAAAAAACAATATCAGGGTTGAGTTTATTTTCTGGAAGTAAGAAATTAACTTCTTAATGAGAAGATTGGAGTACGTGTTACAAGAAAATAGTGTACTGCTTACTGTGCAGTATATACAGTGTATACATTTTATTTTGTTATATTTTAATTTGATCTATTTTTATGGTATCTGAAAAAGACTATTTCATGTATTATATATGCAATTATGAGAAATAAATGACTTTTTATTACCTTTTAATTTTTTAACAGCAGAAAAAGGGTGGAAAAGGGCTTCCATAGGAAGGCTGAGCTGAGTGCATTACATTATGTGATTGAATATTCTGTTGTAAACATATTATGCATATTATGCACAGTATGCATAATATATACTGTACAAATATTGAAAGTAATATGATACAGTAGTATGCTACTTAGAATGTATGTACAAAAACATGTTGATGCTTAATCGTGCAGTGCAATTTTCAGGAAATCCTGCTGATAAAACTATGAGGATCCCAGGAAACTCTCTATATAATAAGACATAATGGTGCATCACGTCAGTGGCTGTTTTACCATGATCCCTCCCCTCTTACGCTCTGATTGGCCGCACGTTTTTCCATTTTCCGCATCATGATGCGACTCATTCGCAAAGCCCAATGATGCAGTAAAGGAGGATATCAGGCTGTGGTGAACACAGCCACTTAACCAGTCAGCTTACTGTTTACCCCAGTGCATCGTGGGCCAGGAGCTGCTGTACACATGCATGTAATCTGCCCGTCAGCCCAGCGAGGCAGAAGGTCTTGGCCTACATCCCCCACACACGGCCCTGAGCGCTGATGAGATAGGGGATGATAGGTGCCCTCAGAAAGCCTGCGGGGAGCCAGGAGTCACTATGAGACTAAGACAGGAGAAACATTACACTGGAGGAAAACTCTGACTCTACATCCAGTCATTCCGGCTTCATTTGTAGCATTATGCAGCCAAGAAATTAAGCAAATGTTAAACACAATATTTTTGGTGAGCGACATGCTGTCACAATTTATACGATTTATTATATATCAATTTGTTTATTAAAATATATTCATATATTTATTATTAATAAATATTTATTATAATAAATATAGCAGAAGTTTTTGGCATTAGAGGCACGTTATCCTTCAGAAACATGCTCAGAAATATGATTCTAATATGCCAATTTGGTGCTCAAGAAACATTTATTTTTATTATCAACAAAGATTAGTATTGTATATTTAAAATTCTAAATAATATAAAAATATTGATGCCATATTTTCTTTTTCTTTTTTTCTTTTTTTTGCTTTAGAGACTTTTTTTGTGTACAGGGGAAACTGGATCATATCCCTGTATCTGCACCCAACATGCGGCAAACGTGTCTCCGATTCCCAGATTTATGTGTGGACTGATAGTTTGGGGTCAAATGTCAGAGAGCTGTGCAAAGCAAACTGTCAATTCTGACCCCTCATGATCTAATTAGACTGATTAGTTTGACAACCCCTCCAGCCTTATAGACGTTAAACAAACACATTGCGTCTTTTCCTCTCGCGCTATTTTTTTTAATCCCGAAAAAGGACAAGATTACCAGCGTCGTCATCCTCCCAGAGAAAGATATTCAGCTCGGATCCATGATACAAACATGCAGGCTCGTAACTGCTCTCCTCTGAAAATCAATTCTGGATGTTTGTTCTATTCTTGTCCTCCATTGACAGCACCCTCTTACAGCTGGGGGAGAGCAGGCAGGCCTAGCTGGTTGGCATGGTAACATGTCCAGGTGAAAGGGAGATGCAGGCTCTCATGGGAGGGGAGGGGGGTGAGGAAAGCAGCCAGGAATCTCTGCGGGCTGGATAGAAACCAGAGGCCGCAGACTCCCACTGCTTCTCAGTCAGCTAGACCTGTCAAGGTCACACATCTGAAAAATCACCTCTGTTTATAGATAGATAGATAGATAGATAGATAGATAGATAGATAGATAGATAGATAGATAGATAGATAGATAGATAGATAGATTGCATTTGTCTATATAACATTTATATAATTTATTTGTCAGTAAATTAAAGTGTCAAATACACACACACACACACACACACACACACACACACATATATATATATGTACACATTTACATAGGTGTGTGTGTGTATATACATAGATACTGTATATATATATATGTATGCATACTTATAATATGATTTTAACAGTTTTTTTAAAGTAGTTGTTTTAACTTATTTTATATATTCATTTATTTTTATATATTGTAATTCATTTGTCAATAACTTAAAAGGATTCATTGTAATTTAATTATTTATTTTTTTGTCAATTTTGTTTTTACCTCCAGACTCTTAATGCATCGTGTTTCCTTCTGGAGCATCAGTGAGCGTTTGAAACATTTGTAATAGCTGCATATGAGTCCCTCAGTTGTCCTCAGTGTGAAAAGATGGATCTCAAAAATCATACAGTCATTATTGGAAAGGGTACAAATGCGCAAAAGATGTTGGAAAACCAAAGAATTTGTGGGACCTGAAAGATTTTTATGGACAAACAAGGGACTCATGAACAACTATCACAAAAAAAAAAAAAAAAAAAACAGCTGTAGATCATCCAGGTAACAACACAGTATTAAAAATCAAGCACATGTAAACTTTTGAACGGGTTCATTTTTATAAACTCAACTATTTTCGCTTGTGGACAACATGTAAACGTCTTTTATGTGAAATATCTTATTCAAGTCAGTACTAAATAAAAAATAACATGCATTTTGTATAATCCCTCTTATTTTGCAGATACTGCTAAGTGTATGTAAAATTTTAACCACAACTGTATATGTATATATATATATATATATATATATATATATATATATATATATATATATAACCAGCGTGGGGG